CATACATGTGTTAGGATGCTGTAGCACTACGGAAGCTACAAAGAAGTATGAAAGACACGCAGGTCCCTTACTAATTGTTTCACGGATTTTCCTTGAGAAATTTCTCTGTATTTTCAGCAAGTAAGATGAACTTGGCAAAATATAATTAATCCATAAGGAGGATGATTCTAAAAGTCATACCTACTCTTCAGGATGCATTTTGTGCCATTTATTTTGTAATGTGAGGAATAGAAGGGGATTTAACAAATGAGATGCTGCTACGCTCCTGAACATTGTTTCCATTTCCTAATTTAGAAGGCTAGCTATCAAAAAAGCAGGCTAAAAAGGGTTCAGAGAAGAGACTATAGCAAGGACAGCGTTTGCAGCAGAAGCACTGATTGGCATCTATCTGACAGCAGGGAATGTGGTGGTAAGGCTTTTTGAAGTTGCCTACTTACAAGTCTAGGGTATGAAATATCTTGGTATTTTGCTCCTTTACTACATTTTTCTTCCAAGGTGTATTACAGTTTTGTCTGGATTCTAACATATACAGCCTTATAACTCACTTCTCTTTTTGTGTTTGTGTTCAGACGGAAATACTTCAGCTGGTTAACTTCAGCACGGTACTCATCTGGTAACAAAAATTTATTACCAGAAAGACATCAGCAGAGAACAGGCCTTAGAGGTGTGGCCACAGACCATGTTCTTTGAAGAGAACTGGGTAATTTTACATGCAGCTAGACCTGTTGCAAAACAGCTCAGTGCAGAGGAACTCCTCTAACACGCAGTACCAGGGGACTGGTTCAGTAAACTTTCGTGCTTATTTCTACCGGTAGCTATCTTTTTCCAACACAGGCACTGCCCTTGCAATGGTGTGGACATCTACCTTCAGTTCTCTTCCATCTCCTTTTATTTTCCAATTACAAGAGAAGACTAACAAGCCTCATTCACTACATCTAAAGCTGTAGCTTTAGTTTCTGCTTTTCGTCCGTCACGCTACATGCTCCTGCTCTCCCCTCAACGTGTGAATAAAAGCACTTGGGCAATCATGGAAACAAGATTAAGGAACAGGTCTCAGATGAAAAATAACCTAGAATCAGAGCCTTGGTCTAACTCACCACCTGGGAGAAATGTTCAGGCCAGCACCTGGCAGCAGCCTGACGCCAAAACCACAATGCTGCACACGCAGACTGCGGGGGCAACTGCTCCCTGCACCTGCGCTCATCTCCTCCCCAAGCCACAGCCTCCACTGCAACGTCCACGCTGGCGACTCACAGCTCCTTCTCACCCGGGCTTCTCCTTACCGCCTGAGAGCAAGGCCGCCCTGGCACCCCTCCGTCCCTAACCACCTCTTCGTCTCCTAAGTCGCAAGCTGGGTGCGAAGCCTCCG